TATTAATTTTTATAAACTTAAATTTTTATTTTAGTTCTAAATATTTGTTAGCAATTGCTTGGTAATATTTTAAGAAATTTAAAATCATGTAGTTATATTTGATTTAAGACAATTGCTAATAAATATTTAGTAATTAAAATACTTAATATTTTATTTTCCTTATAAAATAAATTTCAGATGTGTAAATTTTTACTTTTATAAATAATATTTACTTCTATTTAAAAAATAATCATACATTAAATTAAATTTTTAATAAAATATTAATTACATTTTTATTTTTATTAAGTTTTATAAACTTAATCTATTAATATGAAACCAATAAAGATTTTTAAAATAATATCAAATTTAAATATTACTAATTATTTTTCATGATAAATTTAATACCAATAATAACATTAAAGAATTATTATAGTTCTACGATTAGAATCACTTACGTTATCATTACGAATTCTTTTTTAAATATGCCTGCAATGCAATTTAGGTTGAATTATGAACAAACTCTCCCCTTCTCTCTTACGTGACTACCTGGAAAACTTTTAACTGCCGTAAAAATTCTTTCAGAAAATGCCATTAGCGTATTTTCCAATAACCAAGTATGATACTATTCTACTCCTTCTTCCATGGATGAGATGGTTAAGTTTATGGAGAGTAAAAAATTGTTATTAGCAATTGTCTACGTAAATATGAAAAGAAAATTATATTTTGATATTTTAAATATAAAAATATTATATTTAAAATGTTTTTTTCATTAAATGTTGATGGCTATTATCTATATAATAATCAATGGTGATTCAATTCATTTATTTATTTTTATTTTTATAAATGACTGAGTTGATTTAGTTTATGCATTAGATAGTCAGTAATTAAATTGATTAAATTATCACCCGTAACTGTAGGTGATCGTATTCACATTGAGACATATTTCATAACAATTGCAATGTTGCCAAACGAATGCTTAGAATATCATGCAATATTGGTGGCTGCAACAGCGTTATTGTCAATGTCACCAACTTGTTCAATGCCTTACTTGCTCATCACTTGTGGGCAATAAGGTGGTTATTGGAAAGGAGAAAAACAGTTGAAGTTTAAGGAATTTGAAAAAAAAAAAAAAAACTTCTGACACCTAATATTTCTTACATTATATTTGAAATCAGATTTTCTTTCAATTTTTATTTTTATTTCTTCTCCCTTTTTTCTCCATTTTCTATTTACCAATATTGATTCTACACCCCATCAACATCGAGGGTGTGAAAATGTCACTGTTCTGGAAAATATTAGGTATGGAGTACTTAGATTTTACATTTTGACTCTAAGGTATATATAAAATAAGAAAGTAATTATGTATCTTAACATTTATTGAAAGTGAGATAAGTTTATGATATTCTTCGATTCAAATTATTAGTGGTTACATTTTTGCTTGGTTATTTTACACATCCTAATATTTTATTTATTTTTATAAATAATATATATTTCTCTTTATTTTTAAAAAATGAGCTTCATTTCTTTTTCCTTCAAAATCACACTCTTCATAATCATATAAAAACATAAGTTGGATGGATTGTGCAAATAAAAGCTTTAAAAGCCCATTGCTTGATTGAGAATGTGTTGGGTACTTGCAAATTCCTGCTCGAGATAGGTTGAACTCCACGAACTCCATTACATTTAGACAAAGAAAACGGCACACTCCATGCACTTTCAATGGCTATAATTTGACAAGGCACGAATCCTAAGTAACACAACGAATGGAAGAAATGGATTATTCCTTTCCCACAGATGCTAATGTGCACTTGTGTTAAAAAAAAGAAGCACGACATTATGCAAAGCGCACACACACACACTTATTCAGTAAAAGAAAACAAAAATTACTTTAACAATGTAATAAACTAAATTACTATAACTATTATAATATTTCTACTGTTATTATTGTTATTAACCACAATGGTATTGAAAAAAAACTATTTTATCAAAAACTAAATGTTATGCGAAACAAATGTCGGTTGGGTAGCTTTTACATGTAGAATATATGTGTAGTTTACCTTGGTACTATAAATGATAAGTGTACCATTAAAATAAGTTGCACAACATTTTAAAAAAATTATCAGGTGTTGGGAGGACGATCGTAACACTTAAATAATGTCAATACATCATAAAATTTGTCGCACAAATTCATGCATGACACATATGATTCAGGCGCATGTCTAACAATGTTGTGCCGTAACACATAATATCAATCCATGCCCACAACATAACATGTTTTAACTAAAATTGAAAAAAAAAAAACTGTTTTTATTCTCTCAAAATTACTAAAATTAACAGTTTAAAATATGCGTGACACGAGAATTAAAACACGTTGAAACTTAAAATGCTATATATATTTTTTCTAAATTCAATTTTTTCTTCAACAAATGTAAAAGCAAATTAGCCCTTTCTTTGCAAACAATTCCAAGCATGTTGATTTTCAAGACAAGTACTAAGAAGTTAGTTGAGTGCTAAGGTTGTTCCAAAACAAAAAGTTGAGTGCTAAGAAAGTGGAAAATCATAGTTTATGACGCTATATCTTAATCATTTGCTAATTAGAGTAAGCAAAGTTAAGTAACCAATAATGATGGGAGAAAGTTTGTGCATTAAAAAAACGATTGTCATTTATTTTCTGGAGACCAAAACAATGGACCATTTTTTGGGAGCAGACTTAAACGATGGATCATTCATTGTTAATTTTCAAGATCCAAAGTTATATTTTTCCATCTTGTACTTGCTTACTTATTTTGGAAATTATTAACTTATTAAGTATATTATTATTATTATGGTTGCCGATAGTTGTCGTTCACAGGTAAATAAAAATCAAGTTAAATATGCAGATTATTAACAAATATACCACTCGTTGATTAAATAAGATATTAATGACTTTTTCTAATAGACACGCGCATGGTGCTAGCTTAATTATCTTAGCATTAAGTAATATGTGTGTTAAGATATAAGGTCATGGAGCCTTTTTAGTAAAAATAAAATCTATGCATAATATTTAAAATACTTTGTATATTATTTTTAAAATGTCATAAATGATTAAAATAAAACTTTAATTTTAATTAGAAATATCTAAAAATTGTAATTGATTTTTATCTTTTGTAATTGAGGTGGTTGCCTAAGATTTTCACATGTTTAAAGTTCTATTTAAAAAAATAATAACTAATTAATAATTTAAGTATCAAAATCTTGAATAGGTATGGCGCATCATGTGTTCCTATTTCCAATATGATTATTATTGGACATTTGACTTATAGTTGTTGTATTTTTTTTTTTTTACTCTGCAATTCATTGGAATGGGAAAAAAAAAGAAACCTCTTAAATCCAATAGTCCAATAGGATGGGGATGGATTAGTGGTGCACTTATAAAAATATAATATTTTAATTTATATAATACTGTATATGATAAGATGTTTTATATAACAGGTTTTTTAATTTATGCAATCTTGTATAGGGTAAACTCTTATAAATTTACTACTTAATTAATAAGGAAAAAATAAAAAATAATTTCTTAAAAAAATATGATAAAATAATTAATACAGATTGGTTAAGTGATATATTTATTGAAATTTATCTTGTACAATATTGTACATGTTAGAAAATTCTTTTATATAAAATTAATTATAAATATAATACATTCATAAATTAAATATTGTATTTTTTAATAGTAAAATTATTATATATAATTTTTTATTATGTGTAATATTATACAAATTAAAAAATTAATAAAAATAAGATTAGATTGTGGGTATATTAATTAAGTTATTTATTTACAGTAAAAGGTTAAAATTGTTTGATTATGAATTTTTTAGATTATTTAAAAAATAAAAATTACATTAGATTAAGTTTTACAAATAGATTTTGTCTAAGACTTCAAAATTTTTAAACATAACTTCAGAAAGACATTTGGTTTATTTCGAAAGGAAGTGTAAACGACCAATAAACATTACATACACAAATAAAGCCATAAATTAGTTTATTTATCCATTCACTGTGTGTGTAAAATGAAAATTTTCTCATCTATCCGTTAATGATGTATTTTCACTGTTAAAATATTTCAAATTTGATAATATTATTGACTATAAAATTTTCATAATATGAAAGAGCAAATAACATTAAATTAACAAATGTTTTGTTTATTATACAATTATTCAAGAATATATGTAAATGATTTTTTTTAATTTAACATTTTAAATTTAAATTATAAGAATACCATTCTTAATAAAATTTATCCCTTTAAATTAAATATTTATTTTAATGGTCATTGTTATTGTTCATTCACTATCATCGAATTGAACACAATTAGATAAATAAACTTTGAAAAATCTTTGACTGAATTAAATTTAAAAGGTTGACATTTAAAGATTGTTGTTTTAAAAAATCAAATTCTGTTTTAATTGTTTGTTTAACAGAGATCAGCTATAATTATGGAAATATAATTTTAATTTAAGACTAAAACACAAAAAAATAAAAAAATATTGACATTGTTATTTGAAAATTGGGATAAGAATAAAGTTAAATAAACATTTGTTTATAATCTCGATGATAGGTAAGTGTGCAGCATATATATTTTTAAAATAATCCGTGTATTTAAGATAATAAAAATATTTATAAGTATAATTAACAAAGAGTGAGAGAATTTATGATTATATTAGAGAGGTTTTCATTGTGAATTGTTTTATTTTTGAATGTTGATAAAATCACATAATCATATTCTATGGAAAAGATAACAAATGGTGTCTCTTTATCAAAGAAGAAGGAATGTGTTAGATAAGATATTTTAAGATTAAAATTCGCAACAATTACAGTTAAATTTCATCGCATTTAAAGCGTAAAAAACAAAATATTAACATTAATTAATGAACTAAAAAAAGTATGGAAAGGGAAAAAAACAATGAATATCAGGAAAAAGAGGAGAAAACCAAAAGTGGAAAAAGTGAATAAAATATAGTAATGAAAAGGGAGGTGGGTAACACGATGCCGCATTGATCAAAAACTAAATTGTACATTCCCAAGTGCAAGGAAACCGTGCTTTTGCCCTCATCCGCGCGTGAAAATATCTGAAGAAACACGCTCCCACGCGCCCAACTCAAACGCTAATTGTTGGCATTGATCCTCCTTCTCATTCTGTAACAACGAACCAACGCACGCACTCTACCCATTCCTCAACCTCTTCCGCTCATTTGCATGTTATCGGAGCTCCGGCTCCATTGACGGAGCCCCGGCTCAGTTCATAAAACAGACTCCATTTTCTTCCCCTTTTCAAGATCTTCAAACCTAACCAGAATGTCCAAACCCTGGGGTAACATCGGAGCCTGGGCCGCTGATTCCGAGCGGGCCGAGGCCGAGGAGCGCGAGGCCCAGGCTGCTGCCGCCGTTAACGAGGCCCAAAACTTTCCCAGCCTCAAGGAAGCCGTCAACGCCAAGCCCAAAAAGAAGAAAAGCACCACCGTGACGCTTTCTGAGTTCAACAGAGGCAGTTATGCCTCCGGCGAGAACCAGGGCTTAACGCCCGATGAGCTTCTCCGTCTCCCTACCGGTCCGAAGGACCGTTCCGGCGAGGAAATGCAGTTCAATCGCCTCGGCGGTGGCTTTTCCTCTTACGACCGCTCCGGTCCCCGCACGCGAGACCGCGACGGCGGCAACAACGACGGTTCCTGGGGCGGGGGAAGGAGATCCTACGGTGGATTTGATGAAGAACGCAGGGGACCAGTTTCTAGGGTTTCGGAGTTCGATCAGCCGTCGAGGGCTGATGAGGTAGACAATTGGGCGTCGGTGAAGAAACCTCTCCCCTCGTTCGATTCAGGCCGGCAAAATCGATACAGTGGCGGCGGCGGTGGCGGTAGTGGCGGTTTTGGTGGTGCATCAAGGGCCGATGGTGTGGATAATTGGGCGGTTGGTAAGAAGCCTCTTTCTGTTAGATCTTCCACGTTTGGTTCTGGCTATCGTGATTCCGGCGTGGAGCATGATCGATGGACGAGGGGTGCGCCGCGTGACGTGGAGCCTGATCGATGGACGAGGGGCGCTCCCCGTGAAGTGGAGCGGCCGAGGTTGGTGTTGGATCCCCCTAGAGGCGATGGTTCGGTGAATGAAGCCCCAGTGAAGACGAATAAGCCGAGTCCGTTCGGCGCGGCGAGGCCGAGGGAGGAGGTGTTAGCTGAGAAGGGTTTGGATTGGAAGAAGATGGATTCGGAGATTGAGGCGAAGAAGACGAGCCAACCCACGAGTGCACATTCTAGCAGGCCTTCTAGTGCCCAATCTAGTCGTTCTGAGGGTCCCGGGTTGCAGGGGACTGATACTGTGCCTAAATCAAAGCCTAAGGTGAACCCCTTTGGGGACGCCAAGCCTAGGGAGGTTTTGCTGGGCGAGCGAGGCATGGATTGGCGGAAGATTGATCTTGATTTGGAGCATCGTGGTGTTGACAGGTTTCATTTCTTAGCCATCTTCGTGTTTTTATTATTTATTTTTTGCTCTTTTGTTTAAACTTGTATCTATTATCATTATGCCTGTAATGGAGGGGTTGATGTAGTGCTATAAGCCAAATTTCTAGGTGGCTGTTTTTCTTATTTCTCGTTTGCTCTGTTGTTTAAACTTGTATCTATTATCACTATGTCTGTAATGGAGAGTTGATGTAGTGCTATAAGCTTAGTTTCTAGGTGGCTGTCTGGTTTTTCCTGATTTGCTTGGGTTTAATAGTTGTAAGTGGTTACCTGAAAGAGCTCTTGCCCCTGTTATTTACATGTCCCTTTCACGGTGAATTGTTATGGTGTCTGTTGAATTCATTTAGTTTATTGAATCATTCATAGCTTAGGCAATTTACATGGCATGATATATAGGTAAAATTTATGAGCAGTCTACTCCGGGATTGGCAATAAATGGATGGCAACTGCCTATTAGGGTTGGAAATGCCTTTGGTGTAGAGTGTAGACTATGATCATGGTGTTTTGTCTAGTTTATTCATTGTTTGATGGGTTATGGACAATTATAACTATACCAATCCATTTTACTATGTATTTTCCTGTTAAATTATGGTTCTTTGTTTGGACGTCCTTTCCTGTTCCCCTCCTCCCAAGCAAGTTGTCCTTTTGCTGAATTGGACATTTGGCTTGGGGAGAGTTCATGCTGAACCAATTAGAGGGTATTTTATTTTTACTACACTAATATGGTAAGCTTTTGGATGGAACTAATAGATGAATGTGAATTTCATTATTGGTGATGAAATCATTTGTATTGGGGACTTTTGATTTGGAAAGTTATGCTCCGTAACATGTTTTCCTTATTAGCAAAGAAAATGATGACTATATATTCTAATCCAAGCCCAAGAGCTAATTGTGGATGTAATATAATGGTTGTGAAAATACAAGGAAGATTTTAGTGCAATAGATTGCTATAATAATGAGGCTTCCAGTTATTGGGCTCTTATGCACAAGTGGTGTTTAACATCTTTTTGTCACTTTCTTTTTATGATTTACTACATGGAAAATCAGGTACTTGTTCACTTATTTGGGGGATGGGTTGGATAATTCAATAAATTTCTTCCTGTCTTTTTCACATATTCATTAGTTTTTTGGGTAATAGTTGTAAGCTTTTTCATTTTTTCAGCTATTGTGAATTTTGGAGGATGGGAGTTTTTTGTTCAATGATTCTTTCTTATCACCATAATTTGTAGTAGGATACCATGTTTGTGGCACTGAACAAATGGGTTTATTGTTTTTAAGTCCTTATATAATTCCTTGAGGGATGTCTTAGACTTTGTAATGCAGAAATTGTGACCTAGTAAAGTTTGTCAGTAAATTTTGTTTTTATAGTTTTTATGTGAACTGGCTACAGTAGAGAGGGTTGTCAATACCCAAGTTTGTCTTAGCATATTGATTATATATTGAGGTGCAACATACTAAAGAATTGTATGTCTTAACTCTTACTACGGTACCACGGGCATTAGGTGGGTTGGGTCCATAGATAATAGTTTAAAAGTTGATAATTCTATTTTCTAAACAATTTTTGGAGTGAAATTCAAATGCTCATTCTGTTTCTTGCCTATTGAATTCCACATGAATTAAATATTAAAATGTTGGTATTTAAACCACTTGTATTCCCTCAATCTTTGGAACATTGAGGGAATACAAGTGGTTTCATTTCATGTAAATCAATTAACACAACGTACAGCACAATGGCTTCTAGTCTAAAGGTGGCTGTACTCTGTAGTGGAAGTGCATGGTTCAAGTTATTGAAAGATGTTACTTGTTATAGTTTTACATTCAAATGATAATGATATGGATATTTTTAAAATTTTTAATCAAATCAAACTCTAGTAGGGGGAAAATGTGGTAAAACCATGAAGTAGATGGTGAAATCAAATGTGAAGTTAAAGGTACCTCTAAGAAAAGTTCTAAATTCAAGCTTCAACATTTTATCGTATGACCTCAAAAGGAGGTGAATACAAAATATTAAACAATGTGGGTTCAAACAATATAGGTGATAGGTCAAATTAGAGTTGATCTAGTTGAAGATAGGGAGTATATATATACTTTGAATAGAGTATCTTAGCAAATTATAAGTGTGTAAGACAGTAGAAATGCAACTGCTTAATTTGAAACTTATCAAGTATATATACACTTTGGAATTGGATAGAGTTTATTAGCAAGTTATAAGTTGAGTTTCTTAAAATACTCATAAGGGTGTAGTTTGCTACACTCTACTCCCTTTAGAGAACGAGTGTAGATTCACAAACTCCTATGTGTCATATCAAAATAACAAGTTTTAGCTGGTGAACAGATAAAATGGGTCAGTTGATTGGAACAGCTAAAACAGGTCAGTAGATTGCATGGTTTTGAGTTGTGATCCAGTATAAATAGGACTCTGAAAATGCAGCTGCTGATGCTTTATTTTACGTGCGGTATAAAATCATTAATTCGATTTGATTGAAATACTGATCAATTTTTGGTGGATCATCAATCGGAATTACTTATATTGGTGTTGCAAGACCCTACCTCACTCCTTTAGTGTTTTGCTTTACAGCATAGTCTTTGTTTCAAGGCAAGGTTAGTTTCACCAAGCTAATTAGCGCATATTCCACTGCTTTTGGAGGAATTTCAAGACCTCCTTGGGGAGGCCATCCAAGGGTGACCAAAACCTTCAAAAGATTGGCTATGCTTTTCATATTGAAATGGCTTGAGGGATATGGTGAACTATATATATATCAACAACACAACTTCCAAGCTGTCAAGCTTCTGAGTTTCCTTCACCCATTGCCTATTTCTAATAAGATATGAAAAGCATAGCCAATTTCATTGTGGCACTACTTAAGGATTAGGGAGCATACTACATTATGGTGGTGATAGATTACTTAAGCAAGTCTGCCAATTTCATTTCTTTACATCATCCTTATTGTACTTCTAATGAAGTAGCTGAGCTTTTGGGAAAGAGATAGTTAGATTATATGGTTTCCAAGCACTATAGTTTTTTGGGGCATACTAATTTTCATACGCTGTTGTTGTGCTCTATTTTGGGAGTTCTGTTTCAGCCTTCTCTAAAATATGCAAGTGGCCAGAGGCATAATGTTAGGGTGTGACTGGCACTGGAATCTGGTGAGGAGTTGATATTGACTGTGAAAGGAAGTGGTTGGCCAGAGCTCTGTCTAGTTTTCTTGCATCTTTGTTTCAAGCTGTTTTTTATTCCTGTTTTATTTTTCAAATTCAGTTCCTTTCATCATCTCTGTTCTGCAGATGGGTGACATTTCTCAGCCTTCTTTCTAACACTTTCATTTCCTGTTTGTGGTTGGATTTGCATTGTTTTCTCTTTCTTAGCAGTTCTGCATCAATTTATCACTTTGTTTGGCATGTTTGGTTGCTTTTATGCCTGTTTTTGACCTGCTTGGTCGCTGCTTCACCTCTTTTTGGTTTCTGTTGTTGTTATGCGTTGGCATGGCTTGTTTGGACTTGGACTTAGGTGCTGGTCTGAACCAATGTTTTATAGACCAGTTTGGATTTATATGGGGGCTTTTAGGGAAAAGGTCCGAGATAGAATTCTTTAGTTAAGATGGCTGTGTTATTGTCTTGTGTTAGTGGGTTTACTTTTTGTAATAATCTTAAGCTTGAGGAAGTGCTACAATGTTATTGAGTTTATGTGGTAGTTTGCCTTGTGCTTGTAGGAGTAGTGATACTAGTATGACCTAATTTTTTAGTATAAAAGGAGTATTGAATTACAGTATTGTATCACAGCTATCTATCAACTTCAGTTTATTGTTAGAAATCTTTTTCTCCTTTTCTTCCTCCTTACCTAAGCCCTATAATTCCAACAGGTTGATTGCTAAAAGTTTTAATCATGGTTCTCTATCATTTACTCCTAAATCCTAGTAGTTTGGCATAAATCAGGACTTGCTCTCATAAATGTAAACTTGTCCTTGTTTATTTTCTTCACCCTGCTTGATTCATAATTTCGTCTGATTAATTAGGCCATGCTTTATTTGTGAATTTTTGACTTCTGAAGTAACATTTCAGGCCTGAGACAATGGAGGAAAAATTATTAAAAGAAGAAATTGATAATTTGAAGAAGGAACTTGAAAAAGAATCTACAATAAACTCAAATTATGAATCTGTGGATGAGGCTGGTGGAGACCAAACCATTGCACTTGCATTGTTAGCACAGAAAGAAAGGGAGCTGGAGCTTCTTATCCATGATTTGGATGACAAAGTTCGTTTTGGGCAGAAAGCTGTTGAAAGGCCAGGTTCATCGGCAGGAAAAGCTACTGCTTCTTCTGATAGGCCACCTTCTCGTTCCAGCTCATTTGAGGATTCTAGAAGTGTGGATTTTGCAGACAGACCTCAATCCCGTGGCACAGGAGATATGTGGATGCGTCCTAGTGATGACAGAAGACAATTTCAAGGTAGCAGGGAAAGGGGATGGTTTTCAGGTAGCAGAGATTTGAATAGGTGAGAATATACGATTCCTTTGTTATCTTTTTTTCTTCCTTCCAGTCTTGCAATTCTGGTAAAAGTTTGCTTATTCCGGCTGTGACTTGCTACTCAACATATTTAGTGGTTAGTGGTTAAGACAGAATTGACAATGATTTTGAATTCAATTTCGATTCTTCTTCCCTTGTGTTATGAGAATGCTGACACCTGCTGTCTTTCAGGTCAAGGTCAAGAGAGAGATGGTGAACTGCAGTTTTGTGGGGATTACGAGTTATCTTAAACTTTTGATGACCAGAACCTAATACTATTTTGTTACTTGTCTTTTCTAATCGTTTTGTTCATTCTACTCCAGGAATTGGAGCAACAATCATTGAGTACTGGCACTAAAAACTTTTGCCTAATCTGTTATTGCATCTCAAAAACATTGTAAATTTGTTTTCTCCCAACTGGTAATTTTTTGGGTGTCTGGATGAAGGCAGAAAAGCCTGTAATTTTATTAGGACTTAATTCTTATTGAGGATTATGGAACTTGCTAGTTAATGTGATATTTTTCTGATATAAAATCATTTTTCCCCCATTTTTGCATATGCAATATTGACCAGTTGATATTCTAACATCAGTGGTCTCAACTCTCAAGCTGCATTCCTCTGCTGTGAGGATGAAATTGGTGGTGATGGAAATTTTTTAAGTACCGTTTATTGTCGTGAACAATGATGTCGTTCCATTATTGTGCCTTTTCCCCCCTGATATACACAATAACTGGTTTGATAGCATTGTTCATTCTTGCGTGAAATGGTAGAGTAGGTGATAATGGTATTGTCATAAAACGTTGGACGGTCGTAAAAATGTGAAGCTTAATGTCGTTCAGCCTGCAAGATGACTTCCAAAAGCAATTTCGATTCATGTTGCAAAAGGGCTACACTCTACCAGCTTAATTTTAAACGATTCACGGTTCTGCGATGAATATTTGCATTGCTATGGACACGCTGCAAAAATATTTTCTTACTATGAATAATGCAATATCTTTTACTCTTTCGGCTCTTGTTTATAAAACTTTTTAAAGGGTTTTTACTGATATTTAATATAACAATTTTATAAATTTTTAGGAGTATTTACTGTTATATATTTACCTTTAATAAATATTAAACCTTTTTAACTTAATTAACATAATAGAAGTTTGACTTTAACTAAGAATGTAGTAATTAATATGCTAAAAAAATAATACATTAATTATCTTTTACAAATTTTATAATTTATCTGATTTAGTTGAAAGGATTTTGTAAATAAGGTATAAATTTAGTTTTAACATGCATTTTATTCTTAAACAAATTGAAGTAACTTAAATTTGTTTAAGCTACCTCAATTGTTTAAGAAAGATTGAGTACACCGGACCAAAAATACTTAAAAATTAATTTGAGGGTTATTTTTATTGATAGTTAATTTTAGTTTAAAATTTAAAACTTAAATACACGTTAATTTGTTGTTATTATTTGTAATCAATGTCATATAAAAAGAGACCTGTGAGAACTATTGTTAAAATTATTATTCCTTTCGATTCAATTTATAAAATATCTTTGAATGTTTTTTTTTTTAACTTTTAACATAAGAATTTTTACAAAATTTTAGAAATTTTTTTTTTTTTTACATATATATCTTTCGTAATTATTGAACCATTTAATTTTTTTAATAATTAATATGATAATGAAATTAAACTTTAAATAGGAGTAAACTTTAACTATTGTAATTAATTTTTCAAAACTTAATACATTAATTACTTTCAACATATTTTCTTAATTTTTCTGATTTAGTGAAAGGGCCTTGTAAATATAATCATTAATTACCCTTTTTAGTCCTTTTTATTTACTGAGTTATTTTACGTAGTTTAAAATAGTTAATTAATGTCATAGTTTATATAAAAATTATTATCTAATTTTATATGATATTTTAACATAAAATTTTTTAAAATGATCTACAAAACTTTTTGTTGTAAATAAAATTTAAATGATTTTTACTTCTGTCATGCACAAAATTACTAACAATTTTTTTCTTATCCATCAAGTTAATTGACTAAAGAAACACGAATATACATTTTATTAATTTTTTTTATATTTTAAACAGAAAATATTTTAAAATATAAAAAGTACGGTTAAAAAATTAATTATGTTAACGTCAGTTCTTGAAGTTAATTTTAAATATTTAAAAATAATTTTTATTAAAAACATTTATTGTACATTTATGTTCTTAACATAATAATTTAAAAAATAAAAAATTAATTTTTAATTGCTTAAAATTAATGTTAAAAATTGTGTTTTGTGTTCATTAAAGAACAAGTAACGAAATCAAAATATCGGTTAGCAGTCAAGACAACGCTCTCTTTCCATATGTTATATATTATATTTGATTAGATGTTATGGGGTATCCAAAAAACGAGAGGAATGGAGGCTGTTGCAGAGAAACGAACAGAAACAATGTCATGGATCGTAGTTTTAACTTTAATAGTTGTTGCTGAAGCGTCGAGTGTAAGCGAAAGGGAGTGTAGTTTTCCGGCCATATTCAACTTCGGAGATTCCAATTCTGACACAGGTGCTATCGCTGCAGCATTCGGACATGCTCCTTTCCCCAACGGAATCACTTTCTTCCACGCCTCTGCCGGACGCTTCTCCGACGGCCGTCTCATCATCGATTTTTTAGGTTATTTATCTCCGACACATCAATTACGCACATCTATCTTGAATTGAATTATATCCAAAATGCAAGTCATGATTATTTGAATTGAATTCAATTTCAACAGCGAAAAGCTTGGGTTTGCCTTACCTGAGTGCTTACTTGGACTCAGTGGGCTCAAACTTCAGTCACGGAGTCAATTTCGCAACGGCGGGGTCCACCGTCAGACCTCAGAACAACACCATCTTTCAGAGCGGATACAGTCCCATATCCCTAGACGTTCAGTTTGTGCAGTTCTCTGATTTCAAAACAAGATCCAATCTCATTCGCAAACAAGGTCCAAATTATTAACACTATCAAGTTAATTTATATTTAGAAATTAAAAATGATTTTTAATTATAAGTACTATTAATGTCCTTTTAAGAAAACCTTTTATATATTAATTAAATTATTATACTTAACGATTTTTTCACATTATGCAGATAATAAGTTATATATAATATTTTTTTATTAAAAATTATAACATTTAATAATATCAATATATTAAATTGATAAATATAGTATATAACTTATTATAATATTGTATATTTTAGAAAAATCGTATACTTAAAATACTGGATGGCATGTATTTTTAATTAGCCAAAAGATTAATAAGAAGAAGATCCTGTCTCTGAAAGGCTTAGATTTTATCTCTCCACCTCGAACTTTATTAAACTTTGGCTAATTGATTAAAATTGAACAAATTAAGAGGGGCCAAATCATATTTTAATTTGCTACAGGAGGGGTGTTCAAGAATTTGTTGCCCAAGAAGGAGTACTTTTCTGAGGCTCTATACACCTTTGATATTGGCCAAAATGATCTCACTGCGGGCTTCAAACAAAACTTGACCTCAGAACAAGTCAAGGCATATATACCTGATGTCTTGCGCCAGTTCTCCAATGGCATAAAGGTCACTCTTCTGACCTTATGCTTTTATAATTTGATGTGTATGAAATTTATGTAATCAAACCATTGTGTTTTTGTGAAGCAGGGTGTGTATGGGGAAGGTGGAAGGTCGTTTTGGATACACAACACAGGCCCATTAGGATGCCTGCCGTACATGCTGGATCGGTATCCCACGAGCCCAGCCCAAATAGATAAATTTGGGTGTGCTAAACCATTCAACCAGGTGGCCCAATATTTCAACCGCAAATTGAAAGAAGCTGTTGCTCAACTTAGGAAAAGGTTACCTGAGGCTGCAATCACCTATGTTGACGTGTACACATTGAAGTACAAACTCATCAGCCATGCCCAAAGATACGGTAAGCAATTAAAAGCACCACATGCAGCGGGCTTTAAAATTTCATTTATAGTACAGTAATATGTTAAATTATTTCCTAAAACTACTAATACCAGTGAATTTAGTTTTTTAAATTACATAGATACTATTTTAATTCTTGACATTATTAAATGTCGGCAGTTATTTTAGTTCTTATTTTTATAATTTTTAAAACTAAAATGACTGTTTTTTAATAAAGAGAGCATTAAAAGAATTTTTATCTGCTAATTTTATATTTTAAAATGTCAATTTTATAAAATTAAAGACTAAAGTAATTTAGTGTTGGTTATTTTGGAGAGAAGTATTTCTCCTTTTAATATCATTTCCTTTGTAAATGTAATGAAATGTTGAATGTTTGGAATGGAAAGGTTTCGAGCAGGGAGTGATAGCATGCTGTGGACACGGTGGAAAGTACAACTTCAATAATAAAGCTAGATGTGGAGCAACGAAGAGGTTGAATGGGACAGTGGTTGGGGTAGCCAAATCATGCAAAGATCCAAAGGTAAGGATTGTTTGGGACGGAATCCATTACACCGAAGCTGCTAATCGCTGGATCTTCCAACAAATAGCTAATGGCTCCTATTTAGATCCACCTACCTCTCTAAAAATGTCTTGTTATAGTAATGCATCCATCCATAGTCATTAATCCACCCCAGTCAGGAGATTTAAATTAATCCATGTTTTTGTAACAGTGAATTTTGATATACTAGCTGGTTTTATAAAATGTTTAATGAATTATTTTGACAAATTTTATTTATGTGAAAATTTAAATTTAAACACCTGTGATAATAACAACATTTAATATTTTATCGATAACACTGAGAAATGAGGATCACCTTTAGCAGCATGCAATTGCATACCTAAAGCTATTGAGTAGAGAACTTCTGATGGAAGAAACTTCTCTTGGATCAGGTAAAGAGACTTTGGCAAACTCAAAAGAAGACAACTACATGAGATGGGGGCGGGGAGGACTTCTTCACTATCTTACCTCGTATTCCAACTTCTCTCTGATTCTTTCCTCAATTATCATCATGGGTTTTTTATTTCCTCCATCAATCTCGCTCCTTCACATATTCTTGCGGAAATTCCTAACTTATATTACAATTTCTTAAAAAGATTTAAGAAAAATACATAAAATTTAATATTATAATATCGAAATTAAACTTAAATCTGGGTCACTCAAGTTCAACATGTTTCAATTGAAAATTTGTGATTGTTAATTTAAAGAACAAAATAAATTTCAAAAATTGAAATAGTAAAATTAACAAAGATAAGTAACAATCACCAAACATCCACGTCAACTGAAAAGTATTATTTCATGTTTAGAGGAAGAGTTTTGTTATAAATAATAAAATTACGACTCCAATGAGATTGTGTCAAGTAAACAATAATTATAGAAAAAAATTAAAAGATAAATAAATAATTGTAATTATTAATTTTTATTTAATATAATATTATTTAAAATGAGATTATTAAAATGTGTGCACTTAGTTAAGTTTATTTTAATTTTTTTGAAAATGCAGACCTAGTAAGAAATGATTATTTTCATTCTTTATTAACCGTGCATGTTTCTTTCTAAATTATTCAAAACATCGTGGATCAATAGCATTTTTATAAGGTTAGTGATTAAGTTGCACATAATTTTAATGTGCTGAGCACATTAAGAAACGAAGTTTTGGGTGCAATTGTGGTTGGTTGTAACTGTCTCGTTTGGCAAAGCTAATCCAAATGCTTGTCTCTGCAACTCTCACTCCACAAACTCTCACTCTACGGTTTCCCTTGAAATCCCACTCACTCACTCTCCCACACTATTGCTTCCTCCAAACCCTCAACGCCAACCCTAACCACCACGCCCTCCGCCATGTCACCCTCTCCGATGACGACTCCCTTTACCCTTCCGCCGCCGCACTCGCCGCCGCTATTCGCAGAGCCTCCACCTCGCCCGTCGAGTTTACTCACCGAGTCGAGAAGGACCGCCGTAGCCGACTCGTTCTTCCCAGCCCCGACTTCCACGCACTCTGCCTCCAACAGCTCCACCTCTTTCGCAGGATCGTCCCCGAAGCCCTACTATCGGTTGCTCTTTTCGTTTCATTCCCTTTCTCCAATTGCATTAATGTGCATGCTTCATTCAATTATATGGACCAAAATGTTTGTATCATGTTTGTGTTGTTCAGGTGTATGTTAGACCAGCTGGTAGTTATGTGATGGATCAGTTGGAGCTGCGGAGGGTTGCACTGTACCCTTCAGATGCAGAGTCAGAGGCAGAGGGCATTGTCATTCTTGTCGCTCATTTTAATATTCCTGCCGGATTGCGTGCTGCTGAGGCTACACTTTCCAATTTGCAAGTGTGTAGATTATCTTGTTGCTCTGTGTCTGATTATTCCTGTTGAGTAGGATGTATGTTAATGTAGATGTTGGTTGTAGGTTAATGTTGTCCCTGAATGTAAGGCTGTGGTTCTGCCAATGGTGAAACAGCCATTTGTTGTTGGTTTCTTGGTTGCCGAGCTTCCTTTGGTTGAGCTCGAAAATTGTGAGAAACCTCAGAGTGATGGACCAGATGATCGCATGTCTGTTGAGGAACGTTATTCTTTGCCTCCCTTTTTGGATTTGGATAAGAAGTCGTGGGAAATCCAGACCCTTCGGGTCAAGGATGAGGCTATTGGTATGCGCAACTTCACTTCTGAGCAAAGATCAAATGCTGTCAACATTTCACAATCTCTAGCTATGGCATATGTTATGGATCAGGTTTATATACTGCTTCTTTTTTACAGTAAAACCATGACATTTCTTAGCATTTGCTATTGGAATCCGTGCTTTGAAAGCTATCATTAGATTGTGTAAGACTGACTGTTATTTTTTAGTATGCAATGCAAGTGCTTTTAATTTATTTTTTGACATTTGGTATGGGCCTGAATTTCTAGCTCATGGGTATACTCTTTTTACAGAAAGCAATGTTACTTCAGCAATCAACATGGCAAAATAATGTCAGGATGGGTAATCTAGTTGAGCAAGTATGAGTTATTGACTGTTATTGCATTCCCTTGATCTCTGATTTTTATCCTGTTCTAATTTTCTGTTTTAAAATTTAAACAGATCCGTGGTCCACTCTCAAGCATTCAAACCTTAAGTAAAATCCTGTCTACACAAACAAAGAGAAGTCAGGTTTGAAAGTAGTATAAATCGTAATTGATGAAATGTGAATTTACATACACTTGGATTTCCATACTTGGGGAACCCAATAGTTTGGGCCTAACTATATTTTCATATGCTGGTTCTACAATGAACTTCATAATTGAACCAGGCCAGTCCATCTGTTGAACTGACCCATGATCATTCCTAGTTTGTGACTGTGTCTATGCACTTGTTTAAAGCATCATTAAATTACTTTTTAGGTGGGTTTAATGTTCCAAAAAGCCTTTGTTTCAGCATGCACTTCATGTGTACTAAATATGCTAAGTTTTATGAACTGAAGATTGATGGCTATCTTATTCATGATGCCTTGAATCAAGTTCCATTGTAGTATTTAAAATTAATGAGGACATAGCAGATTTTAGATAAAAAAGTTACTTATTGGAAATAGATCAATCATGAAAATTAGTGTAAACATGCTGCATAATAAAATGAAGAGTTCAGTCTCAAAGGGGGTTGAATCTCAACTATAGCTATTCATACCTTATGGTTATTGGATATCAAGAATGTCATATAATCAATAACTTTGCAGATTTCATATGACATTGTTGAAGACATCTTGGTGCAAGGTGATCGTCTGAAGGATGTCCTCCAACAACTCCAGGATGCTGTATATTTGACAAAGGTACTTCATTCCCTTGTACTTATAGTCATACATACTTGCAAGTGCCTTTTGTATACCAATAATCATTTAATATTTAGTGAACACAGGAAGCTCTTTAGTCTTCATAACTTATTGTCTTTTCCTCTATATAATTGTTGCCTGCAAAATATAGTTATGGGCAAGTGCACCCTGTCACAAAAATAATAAAGTGATTCGAGTCCTAAGCATCATAATTTAAAAAGGTTCTTTCAAAATACAGTAAACAATTACCTGATTCTCTAAAACCTTTTGGTGTCCAAACTTTTGAAAAGGAATGATTGTGAGACAATTAAATGAAAAAGAGGAATTAGGAACTAAATTCACAGAGTATGTGAGGAATTCAGTTATAAAATTGCCTAAGGCTTTGGCTTCACTTTCATTCAATTGTGGGTCCAATTTCTCTATAGTTATGCGTTCCCTTACCAATTGCAAATCGCCATTTCTAATCCAGTGTTCATGAATTGTTAACATTCTTTCCCTTATCAAAATAAAAAGTTTGGTCATGCAAGGCATAAAACAATAATAGCATAAAGAACCAAGTGACTTGTTAATTTTATAATTGATTGGAAATCAAGAATTTAGGTCATGTTTATACTCAGGCGATGCATGTCTTTAATTCTGTAATAAAATAGGGCAAAGTTGGGCAAAAAACAATGCAGAATATGCAATAAGGAGTTGAAAATTCCCACAATTCCAACTCCCCCACCCAATAAACTTGGAGGTTTTGCTATATCTATTCTTTTCCTTGATTGAATTTTCCACAACATATGTCAACAATTTATTGGTTGATTGATCATCAAGAAAATTGTCGCAACATGATGACACACTCAAAATGGCACTTGTTATTGTACATGCCTATATGGTGTAGGGGGCATGTTCTTTGTCCTTCATTCCAGATGCAAAAAAATTGACACGCATTGTATATGCAAGCGCACACATACAGAAATCCCTGCTTTTGATGTTCATCTTTTCTCCAATATGTAGGCTAATATAGTGCGCTACAATGAAGAAGCAATCAAGAAAATGAATGGTTCTACTCACATACTTGCTGAGTCAGCAAGATCTCAATTGTTAGATAGCTTTCCAGGGGATGGCTCTGCAAATCAAATGAATAAATCTAGTGAGTCACTTTGTTTAAGTGCTGCTGTCAAGGATATGGAGATGCCATTACCACCTTCGGCCCTTTCTCCATTACAACATGGAATCAGGTAGGTTTCGTAGACTGATTATTGCTTATGCTTCTTTTGATAGTGCCATGATCTGCCCCCATTTCCATCTTCTATATATACGCTTGTTCCATTTTATGTTAATTCTCTGATATCCCACTCAAAACCTAAACTCCTAACTCAGCACTTTTTGTTGCATCAATATCTTACATATTTAATTTATTTCATTACCTTTCAGGTATCTGCTCTTGGCTTTTAGATGTTTATCTCTTTTTTCTCTCGACAAATTAATTATTATCTGCGTTTAGTTTGCTCATGCTTTTTATTAACGTCAGGAAGACCATGCAATGTTTCTGAAGTATTGACAGACTTGGTTGATTCAGTGAGACCTCTAGCCCAGAATCAAAAACGTGTAGTAGAACTACGTGAACACTCATCCCCTTTGCTAGCTGCTGTAGAAGAACCCGCCTTGCGCCAGGCTTTCAGCAATCTTATTGAAGGTGCTTTACTACGCACACACGTTGGAGGGAAGGTTGAAATTGTATCTACTGCTGCACCTGCTGGGGGTACCCTTGTACTTATTGATGATGATGGACCTGACATGCACTATATGGTAACTTCCATCCGCTCCCACTCTGCTGTGCTTACTCACTTTTCTTTTGAACAAACTGGAATTTGTCTTATGTAATTTGTAAATTAGAAGAATCTCCGTGGAGAACTTAGGGACTTCTAATGCCTTCTTGGGCTTGGGTAAACAGCATATTGATGCCATTTTCTGTGGAATTAGTGCTTAGTTTAAGGATATTAATTTGATAAAAAAATTCCAGCTGTTTCTTATTTTAGTTTGCCTGATTCCTAATAAGATCTTAGGCAAGTCTAAGGAGATGTAGAGCTCTTCATAAAATTACATTGATATTGTATATATATTCAAACATTTCTTTTCTGGCACATATAGCACCAATGTTTGAATTATGACACCTTTCAAGCTACAGAAACCACCTCAAGCCAACTCCTTGTAGCTTCTATTCAGACAACTATTTGATTGAGTGCTTTGTTGCTAACTTGCTATGTGAATTGAATTTTGTGAAAATGAAAAGTAATTGTTGTTGGGTGCAGACGCAGATGCACTCACTCACACCATATGGAAAAGAACTTTTGTCTGATAATATGATTGAAGACAATATGACTTGGAACTTTGTTGCTGGACTGACTGTTGCCCGTGAGATACTTGAAAATTATGGCTGTGTTGTTCGCATTGTTTCGCCTCGGATAAAAGATGCTCCGCTTGGAGCTGGCGGAACTCGTCTGGAACTCTGGCTTCCATCGACAATTGTAAAATCTGATTTAGAGCAGCCACGCCCATGAGGTATAGCATGAGTTTGAAGCTTCCATTGAAGATAAATACATTCCTTCTCAAACAATTCTACATCATAGCACTTGTGAAACTGGCCAGAATAAGATTGTGAAATCAAGGGTTGGTAAATATTACTCTTTCCCCCATCATTGCAAAAGATATGTATGCAGTCCTGTATATAGCTCATAAAGATTCCTTCGGTTCACAGTTCTGTATGACTTTGCTGTGTGTCATGTAAACAGTTTTAATAAACAGTGTATGTGTATTCCATCTTACGAAAACTTGTGGGGTTTACAAGACACCAGGAATCTGAAGCTTCAGCATCTGTACCTTTTGAATCCCCTTCATCCAATATAAAGAAAATACTATCAGTTTCGGAAATGAATGAAAAATTATCCTTATTGATTGTTCATTTATACGAAGTGCAGCACGCAGACGTGTATTTGTTATATAATATAGACAGATTAATTTGATTAAAATTTAAATGAAAGCATCATCATTTTGTACTCGGCTTTTTTAGAATATCAGTCAATTAAGGTGTTTTTATAAGGATTAAGGAAATTAACTGAATCACACTTGACTAAATTATTATTTGATCCCATTAACACTATTCTTTCACTTAATACTGAGAGATAACAAAAAAAAACGAAAAAAAGAATAAGCCTTGTCATTTTAAAAAGTGATAAATAAAATGAAATAGAATTTACCGTAAGTTGGAGTTCAGCCTTTTTTCAAACAAAATGACAGTAAGGTCAGGCCAAAAAATGTATGCTTTATTTCATTTTTTATCTGTCTGACTATTGACTCAATGCTGTTTAATATTATCAAAATAAAATTATTTATCATTAATAGCTAAAGACTTGTAATAATTTTTAAACATGTAACTTTTCTAAATTTTCTTTTATAAATGAACTTTTTAACATTAAAATAAAAATAAATAATTATATTTTAATTTATCAATTAATTTATTCTCTTCTCTGATACTGCAGAAGAGAATCTTGTATTAAAATATAAAAATTTTCAGAATGACACGTAATGAAAATAAGCATTCCACAAATTAAAATAAAATACAATAATATTATAAAAGTTGGATTGATTAGACCATGAACTGGGCCACTAGGTAGTCTGGTCATGATATTTGAATTGGTGTGATTAAACTAGTGTAAGGTGTTGTTGAACTACTTAGAGAGAGAGGATACAGGTACTTGCCAAGAGCCAAACGTGGGATTGAAATATATATATCATGTGTAAAACATGATAGGTAATTTAAGTATTGACTCATACTCATCCTAACCCCACATGAAGGATATTAATAAAACTTTATCTTTATTTGAGTACAATATTAGTCTTGATGTGAAGCATTTAGGTCAGGCTAGGTTCCAAGTCGAGATCAAATTCTGAATATCTATACATTTTTCATTAATAAACAGCACAATTCAGTTGTCGCCAACAAATTTAGAGGTAGCTCATGGGAAGTGATGCTGTGTTGGGGCCTTGTCAAGAGCAATTGTGATGAATGATTTGATGTAAGACCTTATTGATTGAGTTACATTTTAACCACGTCCAGCGCTAAGGAAGATACCTTATTAATAGCACTTAATTTGAAAATAACTATAATCCTACGAATAATTTTAAAACTTGTTTGTTTTTTTATGACTTCATTTATTGTCCTAAGAAATGGATTGTAATATCTAAAGGAATCTTCATATTCTCTCATTAAATTTATTGATCATTAATATTCTTATTAATAATTGCATAAAAAAAATGCTTTTTTAAATACGCTTTATATAGTTATTTTTTTTTAAATTTAAATCACCTGTGTCATAGATTGATCACACATTAAAAATTACTTTAACTTCTTTGAAAACTATCCAACCACAAAAAGTGTGTTCTAAAATATATTTAAAATATACGTTATTCATATTTCTCTTGTGCACTATATTGATATTTTCTTGTTTTATTGAATGAGATTAATAATATAGTATTTAATTGTTGTATAATTTAAATTATTATATTATTATGAGTTTTATTTTGGTAAATTGAAGACTAGTTTTTTCTATTAAACTTAATAATTTATATTGATATGATAATCATCAATAATTAAATGATAATACAAATTTTGTTATATTATCAATATATTTAAACTAAATTATATTATTATTTAAAGAATTGTTAATATAAAGATTTATTCATCCCTTCAAGTTTTTATACTTGAAATTTAAATAACTTTTACACTTATTCTCATTTTCATATAGTCATGTCCTTTATTATTTTATGAAATATATTTTATATCAAATTAAAATAATATTTTCTTTAATTAAATATCAAATTAAAGAAAAAATATCGTTTCCTTAATTATTTTAGTTAAGATTCATATTTCTTTAATCGTCTTTAATGGGATTTTGTTTTATTAGATTATTTTTTAAAATTGAAATTTTAAATGTATTAAATTTATATCTTCTTCATAATTTTTATTCCCGATAAAATAATATTTTCTTTTTAATTTTTATATATATTTTTTACATTCACATATTTTTCATAAACACCCATGCCATATACTGAATACTTATGAGTAAACTCAATGCATCAATAAAATAAGTTAACATCTTTTATTTGTGTGCATTTACTATTAATTAATGTAAATCGTGCAAGAGCTAGATTATTTTTAAAATATATTTATTATTGATAAAATTATATACACAACAAAATTAAAATTAAGCTGAATAAATATTATGTTTAAAATTATCATGCTTTTTTGAGGAAAAAAATTAAAAAAATATATAATCATTAAATTGAAAATTTAATGTTCATACTATGATAAAATATAGAATAGATTATGAAATTATTTATTAATAATAATTTAGTTCTCTATTTGAAATAAATTCCTGATTTAGAAAAGAAGTAAATATTAATTTACTTAAATAATAAATAAAATTTGATTTTCTGATTAGAACGAAAATTGAATTCAAATTTACTAGACAAGAGTCAAGAGCTATCGTAAATTGGTAAAAGACACGTAATAGAAATTAGTTAAAAACTGACCTGCAATTATTCCGCCTAAATCCCCGTACTGACAATTATCTCTTGTCAGCAGAAAATAATATTTATTACAAAGCTAGTAAACAATGATTCCATTTAAATTCAAATTTTTGTGTTTTATTTTTGTTATTATTATTATCATCCTCTATATTTTTTTTGCCCCAAAATCAGAACACCAAAACCGAAGTACCACCAAAACCAAAACCAAAACCAAAACAAAATGCATGTTTGGTAGTGATTTGCTAACCGAAACCTAAGAGAGAAGATTCTGTTGGAAGGTTGTTTAAAATCAGTGCCCGCTGCTGAATCCATTGTTTTTCTCGTTTGTTCCTCTCCTTGGAGAACTCGATCACTACCACCATTTCCATAAACCTTAGATTTCAGTTACCAACAACCAACCCAAGTGTTGATTTTTTCACAAAAACATACTCTTTTTTTGCCAGATCTTGCTTCCTCCTATTTGGGCTATTCCAGTTCCAAGTACGTTTCCTCTTTCTTCGCTCTTCAATACGCTTTCAGAAATGATGTGTGTATATATATTCTTCTCCCATTTGCTTTTGTTTAATTTTCATACTTTGTTTCCCGTAATTCACGAAGGTGTCACATGCTTTTACGGATTTGAATATCCCTTGGTTGCATACGCCACTTGCGGAGGTGTATCAGGGGAAAAGCACGTGCTTTTCTTTATTATGCTTTTCTTTATGAATGAGGTTGTGTAAGTGGAACACTTTATGATAGAAATGTTCGAGTAGACTAGCTGTGTTGAAATTCTGGGTTTAGATGGAAAAATAATAATTACGGTGGATAGTTGATATGACTGGTGTGTTTAGTTTGAGATAAACTGTACACATGTATATCAAATTATGAAGTTGTTTGAATCTGTTTGCAGTGTTTTCTAATTAAGAGACATGGTTCCTCCTCTTATTTTTAAACTGAATTCTTAGCTTCGGACAAGCAAGGTCGAGTACTAATGTAAATACGCGTGAGTTCAATAAGATTACTAATATAAATGTTCCTCCTAAAACACTAATAATTTTGATATTCTAACACTTCCTTGAAGCTTACTAACATAGCATGTTACAAATAAACAAACTCAAAGAAAATCCTAAAATATTATGTTTTCTCCATCATGAATAGTGCTTTAGAGATGCTGGAAAGACAACATAGCAAATGAGACCTTGCAAACAATGAATAGCTGGTGGAGAAACAATGTAATGTGATGATTGGGGTATTCACAGCCTGAAGAGCTGCCTAGTTGGTCAGAATGTTGGATGGCCTAGGAGGAAGGGACACTGCTGGGAAGAGGTGCTGCAGGAATTTCTTGACAAACAATCATACACTTTTGAGCTCCAAACTTCTCCAATTAATCAAGAAAACATTTGGAAGCTCCATGAAGAATTTTGGAGACCCAAAAACGCTGAATACAAAATATGGCTTGAAAACGGCTTTTGGTTGGAAGAGAACACAAATCAGTGGTAAACTTGTAATTAGAGTCAACAGGACCAAGCAAGGGGAATCATAGCCAGAAGCAACCACAATCAATGTAGGATTAGGAACCAAACAGCCGTAACAGTGCTAAACACGAAACTGGAACAGGGGAAACTACACATGTGGACTGGAATATTGCATAACCAAACTGATATAAAATGGGGAGCTAGTTTAGGATTTTGTGAAATTAGTATTTTTGATCTGGGATATTTGTCATTTAGGGATTTAATTCTATGTTGGATTATCATATTCTGGTATAGAATAGGGTTAGGGTGGGTCTACAAATATTCCATCAGTCTGAACATTTGGCAGTTTTTTTCACTTATTATATAATATTGATTATCGGGATTTACTTTTTCCTCCATAGCACATTTGAAAATCTAGCCATAGGAGTAATCTTCCCTAGAGAAGTGCTCTTCGTTGTCACAGACACAATGCCATATATAACTACAAAGTGACAAATCTAGTGAGTTATTCTTTCTTTAGAGGGGACAAGTTGCGAACTTAATGGTATATTGGGCCCAGACTTGAGGCCAACTATTGGGAACTGGTCTTAGAATTACACTGTTCGCACAATGTTTTGGAGAAATCACAGAACTAGTTGAAGCTGAACTAACAAGGTTAGCGATCAATTCAAACATTGACAACCAGGAAGTTGTCTCTTTTCATAAAAGAACATATCAGGGATAAGGAACCATCATTCCTTGATATATGCACTATTTTAAAGAAGAATGCAGAATCATCGTAGACATCTTTTACCAAAATTAAGAAAGTAAGTTTTAGTGTAGCACAACTGGTGGCAGCCCAATGCAGTAAGGCTACCAATGAAACATCTAATTTATATTATGTAATATTCTAACAGGGAGATTTGAGGTTATTCTAATCTTTTTATCTAATACCGGGGTGTATTTCCCCTGTTTTTTTTAACCATTTTCTAGTTCCACTTATTAACATGCTTAGTTCTTCTTTGTACCTTCAACAGGGCTTGCCTTCTTATAGCAATTCCTCTTTGCTTCTTGTATGGAGGATGTGTGCCACTTGCTAGCTAGTGAAGAATAGTTGCGTGTAATTATCTGAACATACAATCAGAACAGCTTGGATATAATGGGGATCAGTAATCGCAGGTATAATCTTCAGAAATGGCTAACTTTGTTAATGTTGTTTGTTTTTAAAGAAATTTTGCACATGCCTGTTAACATCCGGAACTCTGATTGGCATTTGCATCTTGTTGAACTGCAGTTCTCCCAATAGAAAACCAAGTGAAACTATGAGGCTTATTGTGACAACTTTTGTTGGAATAGTTTTTGGCTTTTTTGTAGGAGTATCATTTCCAGCATTGACTACAAAGGTACAGACTGAGTATCTTCTTTTTTTTTTTGGCTGTACCTTATGCTTCAGTGAATTTAAATTGATGATTTGATTTTGTTGGACTTAATAATGTAATTCTAACAGTGCTTAACAACGTGCAGTTGAATCTCCCATCTAGCCTGCTTCCCTCCATCGATGTTTCTTTCATTCAAGAGAAATATGCAGGGGGCAATGCGCCATCTCTTATGAAGAAAAATAAAAGCATCTCATCACAGTATCAGCGATTAAATGATACATTGAAGGTACACATCTCATAGTCAGCCTTGTGAAGGACACTAAAGTTCGTGGGTTCATGAAAGTTAATATCTGTATACCTTCTTTCATTGAGAAGGAAATTTTTTTTGCTGAAGTAGTTGGAGCAGGTCCATAACCTCATAATAATTCATATTTGTTGAATTAAGGATGATAGAGAAGCTAGGATGGGTAAGTGGGCAAGAGAAGTGAAGTAAATTTTTTCAATGAGTTAATTTACAATAAATCTTCAAGGTTTTGGCAGCAATGCCTTAAATGGTTGTAGTGGGTAGGTTCTGCAGATTAAGTAAATGGAAAATTGAGATTATCTGAGTAAATTAGGTGCTGAAAATTCTGTTATTAGTCTGCTGATGCCCTTTTATTTATTTATTTTAAAGGAAATGCAGCTGTAGTAACAGACAAGAGCAAATTTGGTTGGCTTTCCAGTGTGCGCCATACTGCTGATCCTAAGATTAGCCATTATGTATTCTTAGGAAATCCTGTTAATTGATAAGTTGTTTATCTCAAGCTACATATACTTCTATAACTCTCTCTCACCCGCACATTTACTAACTATTTCAACATCAACAAACTAGAGAAGTTGAAATGTAGAAAGCAAGATGCCTTGTGAACAGAAATGGGGTGCTTTTATTAATTGATAAAATGATTATGTAAATGTAAGGTACAGAGTAAGAAATTACTGCTGTGGGTATGTTACAAAAGTGGAAAAATAAAATTAGATAGAACGCATAACAACTATGACAATCAGAAGGCAGTGCTTCTTTTGTTAACGGCTTTTGAATTTGATTATGTATTATATAATATTGTAAAAAATGGTTGGTTAAAGTTTGAATAAAGATTGCTGCATATTTTCACCACTCTCTACAGATATGGGTTCCATCAAATCCAAGAGGTGCAGAAAGGTTACCTCCTGCGATTATTGAAGCTGAGTCAGACTTCTATTTGCGTAGATTGTGGGGTCAGCCAAGTGAGGTTTGTATCCTAAAACAATTTATGTGCTAGTAGAACTTTCTTATTTCTTTAATTTTCATTCTTTCTTTGGATCTAGCCGGGGTTGAAATATAAAAACCATATTCATTTGCATGCATAGAAAAATGCATTTATATACAAATCAAGGTCTTGTTACTGCTGTTAATTAAACTTGTCAAAGACTTGTGGTTCCTGACTGGATTCTTTGCTGGCTTCCCTGAAGTAAACTTGATATAACACCTCAAATCCAAGATTGAGACAATTTGGGAAAGAGTAGTGCCATAGAAAACATTTGTTGCTTGCCCTGTGCATTTTTCTTCTAACTTGACTGCTGTTATTAGGCCAGTCTTCAAATTTTTGGAATGGAGAGGCCTCTGGTGTTTTTATTGTGATATATTATCTATATACAAAGCACCTGATTAAGTTGCTGCTTGCAGGATTTAACCTCAAAGCCAAAGTACCTTGTCACCTTCACTGTTGGTTATGATCAGAAAAATAATATTGATGCAAATGTGAAAAAGGTTGTCTGTTAGTTTCTTTTTCTCTCATGCATAAGCTTGTGTATGGGTTTCTAAACTAGCTCTGTTACTTGGAACAGTTTTCAGAGGACTTTACCATACTTCTATTTCATTATGATGGACGAACAACTGAATGGGATGAGTTTGAGTGGTCAAAGCGTGCCATTCATGTGAGTGTTCGCAAACAGACCAAATGGTAAGAATCGATTGCTAATCATTAGTACTGGATGACAAATTTTTTTCTGCAAATTCTACCATTATTATCGTTTGCCTAAGCAAAACCAAGAATGTTCTGCTAATTCAATTATGTTATGATATTAATTAAGCATTTGATTGTCTTTCCTCCTAGGTGGTATGCCAAGCGATTTCTGCATCCTGACATTGTGGCACCATATGACTATATCTTTATATGGGATGAAGACCTGAGTGTAGAACATTTTAATGCTGAGCAGTGAGTATTTAATATGATATGATCACAGTTTAATTTTGATATAATCAGCATAAAGTTTTATCTAACACTATCTCGAATTATGTGTTAATTTTTCATTAGACTTTGACTTTTTAGTTTCTGTCATGATCAAACTTTTTAAATGTGCAGTAATATGTGATTGGATGATGGTGTTAGAAACTTCTATAATTGATATTGGATCAAAATAAAATTACATGTATATTTATATACCTAAGGATTTTTTTATTTTATATTTTCTTTTAAACATGAAGTTTGATATGCTCTGATAGTCTGATTTCAATTGCAGATACCTAAAACTGGTGAAGAAGCATGGATTGGAGATTTCACAACCTGGTTTGGAACCTAATAAGGGGTTGACATGGCAAATGACAAAGAGAAGAGGTGATCGTGAAGTTCACAAGTAAGAAAGATGAGAATCCCATGCCAGTTTTCTTTTGGTACTTGTTCGTTATGTAAAAGAATGTGTACCTACTGTTTATTTTCTGTGATTTCTATTAGAGAAACAGAGGAGAAACCTGGATGGTGCAGTGATCCCCATCTGCCTCCTTGTGCAGCGTAAGTATCAGTTGAAGTATCATCGTTGTATAGCTACCCACCTATACCCAGCTGTATTCAGTTGTGTTATGTCTGCAGGTTTGTTGAGATCATGGCTCCAGTGTTTTCACGAGATGCGTGGCGTTGTGTTTGGCATATGATTCAGGTTAAATGTTTTTGTCTTATTCTCTTCTGAATATCCAGTGGTTAGTTGTTTAATTATGTTTGTTTAAGCACTGAGAGAGTCATAGGGGTCTTATAATAATTATGATTGTATTTTTCTGTGCATTTCAGAATGACTTGGTCCATGGGTGGGGTCTTGATTTCGCTCTTAGGAAATGTGTTGAGGTGAGTGTTATCTCATTACTTCAATTTTTTGTAATTGCAATTCCTATGCTATATAACATTAAACTAATATCTCTCACTATCATGTAGCCTGCCCATGAGAAGATTGGAGTTGTTGATTCTCAGTGGATTGTTCATCAAAGTGTTCCCTCTCTAGGGAATCAGGTAATTTGTTTTCCATGATTATTCTTGTTAGACCAATAATTTTATTCATATCACCACCACAAGAATATTTATGTGTTTTTCTGTGCTTTGGTAGGGAGAATCACAATCTGGTAAAGCACCATGGCAGGGGGTATGTTATGCATATTTCATGCAGCTGAGCTTGATTATATATAACAATTTGCTTGCATTATTACCCTCAATTTAATTTATCAAAGAAACTGTGTTATAATGGATGAAGTTGTTATTTCATGTAAATACTCTCATTAAACAGAAATTTTGATGAACCATGATGGTGGTGGCAGGTGAGGGAGAGGTGTAGAAAGGAGTGGACAATGTTTCAGAGTCGATTGGCTAATGCAGAAGACGCATATTATAAGGCCGTTGGAATTGATATGTTTAATTCGAGTACCCCTTGAAAGTTGTCTTGTACACACACCCATCTTCACCGTTGAGCTTTAATTTTCACATGCTATATAATTTTTGTACTCATTCCACATGTATTTTTTTTTTCTTTTATTTTTTATATGTTTGGAACACTAGTTACTTACACGAGTCCTAGCTAAGGACAAAACAACAGTTCCATGTGGAATTCCAGCGCTGAAGGCTAGAATATTAGATGAAGGTAAATATAACTAATGGCGTAACTCGTGTATTTCATCCCCTTTGTGACAGACTCAGACTCGATTTATCTTTATATATTACGTTTGAGCATTTCATATTTATTTATTTTTATTCCTTGTAAATACTATTTTTTTAATTTTAATATATTATTTTAAATTGAAGATTTCTTTCTTTTTAGCTAAATCAAAATTTCAGATTATTATAATCTTATTTAATTTTTAATTTGAATTTTAGCATATATTAATAAAGATGAAAAGTATTTTTTAAATTAGTCTTGATTTGATGTTTTCATATGCGACTTTTATTTTTTGGTAGAAGAAAATATAAGGACAAAAACAAGCAAAAAGACTACAATAAAAAGCAACACCAACTGTTCAGAAAGCGGAGTTTCATATGCTTTTTTAATTTTAGATATTTTTATCTTTTAATTTATTTTTATTTAATAAAAATATTTTTAAAAATAAATAAAATGTTATAAATTTAAAAATAATTGTAATATATCTCAAATTTGAATTAATAAATTATTTTAATTTAATAATTTTGTATTATGTGTGGGAACTTATATTTATTTTAGGAATATTACTTGTAGGCAATAGGAATGGAAACAGAGAATATGCAAAATTTTCTACCTTTTCGTGTGATTGTTGTGACAACCTATTGTTCTTTCGGCTGTTTCTTATAACACAGTTATCAATTCATTAACTTCTAACTTCATGGCCGGTGACTGGTCAATGAGGTTCCCTGAATCGTACCTGTCTTTTCTTTAATTTTAGGGTATGTTTAAGAGTTAGATTTTGAGAAAAAAAAACCCTTAAAAATTAGATTAAAAAAAGAAGAGTAATTTGTCCACTATTAAAAAATATCCTTTAATTTATTATCATTAAAATAAAAAATACTACATTATTCTTCGTACTATCCAGACATTAAGAAACGTCAATCTCGATTAATAAGTTAATTTAATTAATTTGCTGGTAGCTTAGTAAATATATAATATCCACACAAATGACTATTTTAATTTTTGCTAAAGAATCATTTTATTTTTTATTATTGAATTAGATAATTTAATTTAAACAAATTAATATAAGAATATAAATAAATACTATGAAGACTCAGCAATTTCTATTTAGAATAGAATCTTGGAAACAAATTTGACTCTGAGTCAAATATTTTAAAAGTCATAAAAGATGTTGGGCAGCGGATGGCTTTGTATGACTGAGTTAAAATGTAAACTCTTTTCTTTTTGTTAAATGTCGTTGCAGACTTGCAGTTGCTTAATTTTTCTGATAAAATATTGAGAGCGGAAGTTAGTCTTAGTGTGAATATGTATGAGCTCTTTATAATTTTTAAACTTTAAGAACTACATCCAATTACTTATGCATGTTTATTTTATTTCTTTAATATATTTTAGACACAATAGATTCTGTTTATTCCAATGCTTGTTGTGAATAATGTGTGAGCCTTTTCTTTTATTTTTTGGGACAACCTTTGTGAAACTTCAAACAGGCAATCATAAAAAAGTTGGGCCTTGTTGGGCAAAACCCACCAAATTATCAGAAAACCAAGTAAACAAGAAAGGGAAATAATTGATTTGACCAAAAGAAAAAGGAAATAATAAATATTGAGCTATGCCTAACCTTTTCCATACCAATCGGATAAAAACATTTTATTTCGACTCGAGAAACAGTGAAATTGATGAATGAATTGTAAGAGTAAAAACCAAAGCTTTATAACGCCACATACATTAGTTAATAATACAACTGAAGCTATATATTTATATAGAATAGCACATACAGTAAGGATGAGATGAAATGCATGCACATCCTGATCCTAACTTCGTCAAACAATCTTCTTAGTGAGTTAGGCGCTTCTCCAAATTCCGAGTCACCTTTCAAATTTATATAAAATCTCTCTCTCTCTCTCTCTCTCTCATACCGTTTGTTCGCAAATAAAGGGACAAGTGGTATTAATATCTAATACCATCCTTTTCATCACATTCCTTTGTTTTTTACAGCAACTCACTAATAAAGGAGCAGAATTCACTAAATATATATTTACATTGCTCTTACTCAAGGGGACTTGCGTATATTTTATTGTGTTGAAAAAAAATTGTACAAGAAAGAGTGGTGATAGCATTTCTCAACAAAGGGAGAGGATCCACCAAGCTGTGAGTGTATTTCTTGTATATGGAAAAAAGTGCCCGTAGTTTTTTAAGTTTTGAGCTACTAAGCTTGGGATATCACGTGGTTTCGTATCTCATTTTGTCATAGAAACCGCATAAGTTACTTGCGGAGGTTATTTGGGGGGAAAGCACATGCGTTTCTTAGTTTAGTTATAGTTCACATTTGTTTCAACGTTCAACGGTAGCTCCTTACTTTATTTTGTGCTATTTCTTCGATTGCACTTATAACGTGTGCTTTCTAAAGTTGTTCAGGCTTCCATAGTTGTCATATGTTACCTTTCCACTTGGGTTCTGGATGTAGAAAACTTTCATAGTTGGGGTGTTATATTCCAAAGTATGATTTTTTTTTCTCTCATACCATGAGTTTGTGTGTGTTTTTCCTTTTGTTCTTTTGAATCGTTATCTGGGGGGCATATATTATAGCATTTAGTTCTCTTCTTTTCACTTTAAACAGGGCTTTTCTTCATTTAATAAGCATTTTGGTTTCTTATATGGAAGAAACGATCAGAAAAGGTAGGATTTAATGGGGACCGTTACTCGCAGGTATAATCTTTGGAGATGGCCAACCTTGTTATTTTGTTTGTTCTAATGAGATTTTGCTTATGCTATGGTCTAAGTCAGAAACTCCCTTAAATTGACATTTGTATTTTGTTGCCTGCAGTTTTAATATTAGAAGGAAACCGAATGAAAGTATGAGGCTTATTATATTTTTCTTTGCTGGAGGATTTTTCGGCTTGATTGTAGGATTATCACTCTCTTCACGGTCAATAACAAAGGTGCTGAAATTGAACATCCTCTTACTAGTGTACCTTATGCTTGGGAGGATATTTATTCATGGTTTGATGTTAATTAATTTATGGCTGTTCTACCTTAAGAACGGAGCTCTAATGTTTCTTATTGATTAACAATTTGTAGTTGAATCTTCCGTACGGCCTGCTTCATCTCTCTTGTATACAGGACAGATATACATATAGCAACGAGAATAACAGTGACACCTCATCCCAAGATCAGTTACTTAACAACTCGTCGAAGGTATGCATCTTATCATGTAATTCATATGAAGGACCTTAAAAGTTGCTTAGGGGACAGTGATTCAAGAAAGTTAGGAAAAAGTAAAAACATAATTTATTGAACTAATCATAAGTTAGATTGAGGTCCATAAACTCATTAAAGATTCATGCACCTTATTTATTTAACAAAGTGGGCTGCGGCAGTGGAGAAATTCTTACCCAAAAAACTACTATAATTTTTACATCTTTAATGTTTTGACTTTTGAGCATCATGCTTTAAAGGGTTGTGGCAGATAAGGTTCTATAGAAAGTAGAGGGTAAATTTATATTCTCTGAGCAAATGGTGCGCTGAAGTGATTGATTTTAGAAGCAATTAGAGATGTTTACTGTCTTGTAGAGCTAAAGTATAATCATTAAACACGTGTCTCTACTTCTCTTTTATGTTTTGTTTATGCATTCAAGATTTGTCTTATGCTACATATGCTTGTAAAATCTTCCTCTCTTGCTTACATGGGCGCACACACACCACCATCAAGAAACAAGAAAATTTGAATTATTGAAAGCAGAATCCTTGTGAAAGAAACAGGATTCGTTCAATAACTGATCAAATGATTATCCAAATATATGAGGAAAATAAGATATTATCAGAATGTTAATGTGGTTATCTGACCAGAGTGAAAAAGGAAAATTAACTATAGCTACTTGAGATTCAGAAGCTTATTGCCTCTCCTTTTACTCTCCATCCTCTTCTTAATAATTGTTAAAGGATTTCAACTATGATTTCATATTATGTAATACCTGAAAATATGGCTTGTAAATGTCTGCGTTAAGTCAATTGCTAGCTACTTGTTTTCATGATTGCTTGCAGATTTGGGTCCCAACAAATCCAAGAGGTGCAGAAAGATTAGCCCCTGGGATTGTTACAGCAGAATCAGACTTATATTTGCGCAGATTGTGGGGTATTCCCAGTGAGGTGAGTATACTAAAACGGTTTATGCGTTCAATGTAGCTAAACCCTTCAATGTAATAAAAGGATGCAGCTTAAGACAGATTAATGTGGTGTTAAACATCATGTTATAGTTAATAAAATTGTAATGGATTTTTTAAGATGTGTCGAATGACACAAAACAAGAACTTATATATAATAACTTTTTAGTAGAAATCACAGTATTCAATGCATGGATAATATTATATATTGTAATTTTTAATCAAAATTTACTATTTATTAATTTTTTATTGTGTTTTCTTGGATGCACATTAGAAAAACCGAAATTGTAAAAGATATCTTAATCTTCTGTTTGACATTTGCTTACTTCCACGGAGGAAACTTACTATAACAGCCTAAATACTGTATTGAAATAATCCGGAGAGGAATATTGATAGCAAACTAAGGAGTTGTTTGATTTTGGAAATGTTTTCTGTTTTTACTTTTAATTATAAAAATGTCAGCTTATTTTTATTCTACTTTTATTTTCCTGTTTGCCACATGTGCATTTTTCTTCCAGCTTTATTCTCTGTATTTGTTTCTATTCTGTTCTTTTTCTTCTTTTTTTATCTTGGGCAAGGGGTGCCTCTTATATTTATGTTGTGGTGGTTTCTTCATGAACAGAGAATTTGATTAAATTTTCACTTGCAGGATTTGACCTTTAAGCCAAAGTACCTTGTGACCTTTACTGTTGGATATGAGCAGAAAAAGAATATTGATGCAGCCGTGAAAAAGGTTCTCTCTCTCTCCTTTCCTCTCTCTCTCTCTCTCTGTGCATAGGCTCGTGTACATGTCTTTGAACTAGATATGTCACTTGAACAGTTTTCAGAGAACTTCACAATCCTTCTATTTCATTATGATGGCCGAGCAACCGAATGGGATGAATTTGAGTGGTCAAAACAGGCTATTCATGTCAGTGTTCACAAACAAACCAAATGGTAAAAATTCTCTGCTTAAAGGTTTCATTTTGACATTTTCTGTTAATATTGTTACTCCAATTAAAAGTGTTCTGCTATTTGTTCCTCCTCTTAGGTGGTACGCCAAGAGGTTTCTACATCCAGACATTGTGGCACCATATGACTATATTTTCATGTGGGATGAAGACCTTGGGGTTGAACATTTTAATGCAGAAGAGTGAGTATTAATTAGACTATTAGATATAATGTGAATTTTCCGTTAGTTTTGGTTTTGTTAAAGGAAGTTTTATACGCCCCTTAATTCCAATTTTAGATACCTAAAACTGGTGAGGAAGCATGGCTTGGAGATTTCACAGCCTGCCTTGGAAGCCCCTAAAGATTCTAAAGGAAGGGTGTGTTGGAATATGACAAAAAGAAGAGATGATAGTGAAATTCACAAGTACGAGTAATGTCATCAGTTTTCTTGTGCTGTAAGTAATTATCATGTGTTGACTGTTTGTTTCTTTGATTTCTATCAGAAAAGCAGAGGAGAGACCAGGAAAGTGTAAGTACCCCCTTCTGCCTCCTTGTGCAGCGTAAGTATTTGTTAAAGATTTTTCTTCTTTTATATTGTTAACCAATTTCATAAGAAATTAATAAATAAAGAGTTATTTATAAAAAATTTTTGATGAGATTGCATTTGGAATCACGAGAGTGTGAAAACTATATTTTTATTTCTTTAATATTTTATAATGTTAACAATGTTAACATGCAGGTTTGTTGAGATTATGGCTCCGGTGTTTTCACGAAACGCATGGCGCTGTGTATGGCATATGATTCAGGTTCGATTAATGGTTACTCTCTTTAGATTGAGAACAATTCTTGCATGAGCACATCATACCCAATAAAAAATTAAAGATAATATTGAATCGACTAACATGTCTTTAGATTTTGATTGGTTGTGTCTAATAACCAATTGCTCAGTCATTGATGGCTTCCAATAAATTATGACTGTAACACTGCTCATTGCAGAATGAATTTGTTCATGGGTGGGGTCTTGATTTTGCTTTCAGAAAATGTGTTGAGGTGAGCCTATTAACTTATTATTACTTCAGTTCATATAATTTCTTGACTAATTACTTTTTGTGTGGCTTGGGAGAAACACACACCAAAAGAAAGTAAAAACATTGGAACTCTGATATGCTAAGAACTATTAAACTAAAAGTTTTGATTATGATCTAGCCTGCCCATGAGAAGATTGGAGTAGTTGATGCTCAGTGGATTGTTCACCAAGGAATTCCCTCACTAGGGAATCAGGTAATTTTTTCCCCATAATTATTCTTGTTTTATTTAACGTTCATCATTTCACTCAAATGCAGATCTGTAATTGTTATTTGTTTTCCTGTGGGCATGGCAGGGAGAAGCACAAACTGGCAAACCTCCATGGCGGGCGGTATGTTATGTACACACTTTATAATTAATAAGGATATTTATGTATTTGTATACTTTTTTCATTTTTTAATATGTTTTCAATAATTTATAATAAAAAATAAAAAATAATAAATTTTTAGTTAAAAATATGATATTTAATATTATTAATACATTCAATACTGTAATTTTTAATAAAATTTATCATATATAATTTTTTATTATATGTCTTTAAACACAAATTCAAAAAATTATTTATATATTTTTTAATATATTACTACATCACTTATTTTTTTTACTTTTTGACTTTTTGCTTAATATCTATCAACCTAACAAGTGAAAATTCGACATTTTTCTTTTATATTAATTAGTAGTTGTTCAAAAAACATTAATTTAAAAATAGAAAGAATGAAATTAAGATAATTTGTAATAAATTTTGATCGGTGTGAATGTGGTACTGGTGATAGGTGAAGGAGAGGTGTGGCATGGAGTGGAGGATGTTCCAGGGTAGGTTGACGAACGCAGAAAGGGGTTATTACAAATCCAAGGGAATTGATTTTTCTAATTTGCTCGTTCATAATTAGGGGACAGACGAAATTCTTAGACATATGATTTCGACTTTTACATTATTATGTTGATATATATTGCTTTAAGCTTGTAAGAGCTAGTTTTGATGTACTATTCAATAAATATTTACAGAAGAAAAAAATAAAGTAAATCAATTTTTTGAATAAATTAAAATATATACTTCCAATTTGGTGGTGCCTATAATTAATAAGAATATTTGCATAATTTAAAAGTCAAACATTTATCTAATTTAAGAAACTCCATAAATCAAAAAATAATCTCAACTAAACCTTACACTAATTATTTGTAATAACAACTTAGAGTGCCGATAGATAGGGAACTAAACAAACATTTGATGTAGAGATCCACCGCCGAAAGTAAGAAAATAGGAGAGAGGAAAAAGCATAACGTATAACGCATGCATTTTATTATAATGAATAAATAAACCTTCTATCAAGACCAATTAAAAGCAGAACAAAGCAACACTATCTTTCACAAAATCTGATAGCAGGTTATGTCAGTTTTTCTATTTCTTGTGGATACATTTGAATCATAAACACATGATGCCTAAATCCGGCGAAATTTCTGGATTATATTTCCCATGGTTGCTGATGGCTGTGGCAATTGATTTCTTTATTTTTATATTTTCTACCATTATCAACAGAAAAATATTAATAACCCATTTTTAACATATTTCTTATAATTGATTAATTTTTTTAAGAGTTAAAATAAATTTCAAAATTAATTAATTTATAAAATAAGTGTTTTAACTTTTTAAAAAGCAAACCAATCACACAAAATATATTTAAAAGAGTATATTATTAATATTTATTTTCTCGATAATTTCAAATGCTTGAAGTTTAAGTTCGGTGACAAGTCAACAGGATTGCTTGCATCATAAACTCTCTTTCCTTGAATGATAGACGCAGAAAGCTCGCAACCTAACACAGCTGTCCTTGAATTTTAAGTAATAAAATAGAACCCAATGTAGTCCACAAATTGCAACGAGTGGATAAATAAATTACCTGAAAGAACGTCAAAACATACAGATGTAACAATTGTTATGGTACCTGTAGTAGTACCACTTTCAATGTCAAATGAAAACACGAGACAGGGAATTGACATAACCAAGTTTCTTTGAACCAATAAAATGATTTGTGATCTTTTTTAAAATTTACTTTTATATATATTTTATGAAGAAATTTTTTAAACTGTGTTTATTTTAATTCATTTTTAGCAAGTTTTAATTTTAAGTTTATAAATTCTTATTGAATAAATATCTTAATTCATATAAGAACTTTGAATCATTCAGTCTGATTCTACCAGAATATTTATACTTATTCATTCAACACGTCTATAAAAAATATGAAGCAGAAGGTACAGTGCCTATTGTTGGAGTACTCTCCTAGTATATCGCTATGCTGTTGTTTGTAACCGACTAATCCAATATGCTGTTGCCCATTTATAGATGCTAATATGTTGCCTACTTTGTAGAGGCTGTTACGGTGGATAGCTGAACAGCAAAACTCAAACAACCCTCTGTATATATATAGTGCAGTACATGAATCTGTATAACTGAGTCGAAAAGACGCAAGTTATTTCCACTTTATGGTATTAGATTAGCCATTTGCCTCACGGCTGATCTCGATCCACAATGGCCTCCACAACTCAAACCTCAGTAACCTCTCCCACCCCGGCTGAAACAAAAGATCTTGTGGAGTTTAATACTTCCACACAATTACCAATCAAGTTGAACTCTTCAAATTATCCAGCATGGTACAAACAAGTGCACTCCTTGCTCATTGCCCGAGACCTTGAGGGGTATGTAACCGGTGCAACACCATGTCCTCCTTCTATCATCGACAATGGGGATACCCCTATCCCAAACCCAACCTACTCACATTGGGTACAACAAGACAAATTACTCTACATTGCATTACTTGGGTCCTGTGATGCTGAAGCTCGCTCCATTATGTCATTCGCTGACACCTCTCGTGATGCCTGGCTTGCTCTTCAGTGAGCATTCTCTAATAGATTGCGCTCACGTGTTAGTCTCTCAAAGAGAGACTCGATGCTGTCACCAAAGGCTCCAGTTCGGTGATTTCCTATTTGCAATCTATTTGCTCCATTGCAAATGAGTTAGCATTAATTGGGCACCCCCTTGACAACATAGACCTCGTCATCCATACTCTTAATGGATTAGGACCCTCCTTTCGAGAATTCACTGCTTCCATTCGAACTCGTGACACCCCTATTCTGTTTGAAGAACTCTATGAAAAATTGTTGGACTTTGGGATGTTTCTCCAACGAGAGGAGCACCTTCAACGCATCACCCCTGTCACTGCCAATCTAGCCCAACATCAATCTATGTCATTTAGACGTAGCAAAACTCATAATCAACCTCGCTCTGGCTCTCGCAAGGACAATGCAAATGCTGGTGACACCTGCCAAGTGTGCAACAAACGTGGTCATAGTGCTTTAAACTCAAACGAAGCTTCCGCAAACACCCATCACCTACTGCTCATGCAGTCAACATTGCTCCCAAGCAAATTCTGTCTCCCGAATGGTTGTTCGACTCTAGAGCCTCTCATCACATTACCAATGATCTTAACAACCTTTCCCTGAAATCCAACTACGATTGCACGGATCAACTCCTTGTTGCTAATGGTACTGCACTCTCGATATCCCATAAAGGCTCTACTACTATTCTATCTAGTCAAAAACCTTTACATTTATCTAATGTTCTCTGTGTTCCTGGTGTTACACAAAATTTGGTTTCTGTTTCTCAATTATGCCAGTCTAACCAAGTCTTCATTGAATTTTTTCCTCTGCATTTCGAGGTAAAGGACCTGAGCACGGGGGCAATTCTGCTACGCGGATTGAATGATGGCAATGTATACAAGTTACCTTCCCACACCCATCAATCATTTACAGCTCAGTCCACTCCTTCCCTCAAGCTTTGGCATCATCGACTTGGTCATCTATCCTCCCGCATCCTTTTACAAACTCTAAAGTCCAACAACCTCACATTTCATGGTTCTTCTAATAAATGCTCCAATTGTCTTGCCAACAAGAGTCACAAACTAGTTTTTAAGCAGTCTTCATTGACAAGCTCATGTCCTTTGCAAATTGTGTATTCTGATGTTTGGGGCCCTGCTCCAGTTAATTCAATTGATACTTTTCGTTACTATGTTGTTTTCATTGACCGTTTCTCCAAATATGTATGGTTATATCGCATGAAAAATAAGTCTGATGTCTCTCTTATATTTCCAATCTTTAAAAGCCTCGTGGAAAACCAATTTAACCACAAAATCAAAAACCTTTACTCTGATAATGGTGGTGAATTTATAAAACTTAAGCACTTTCTTCAAGCACATGGAATCACTCACTTAACAACACCCCCTCATACCCCAGAACATAATGGACTTTCAGAACGAAAACATCGTCACTTGCTTGAAACTGCTAGATGTTTAATTCACCAAGCCTCACTACCTTCAACCTTTTGGTCATTTGCTGTCCAAACTGCAGCCTACTTAATTAACCGTCTTCCCACTCCAGGCCTCAACATGAAATCTCCATTTTCTATCCTCCTCAAACAAAGCCCCAACTATACTAAACTTAGAACATTTGGTTGTTTATGCTACCCATGGCTTAAACCATACACTTCCAACAAACTTGAACCCCGTTCTGAACCATGCATATTCCTTGGCTATAATTTATCTCAAAGTGCTTATATATGCTACAATATGCAATCTCAACGCTTTTACCACTCCAGACATGTGTAATTTCTAGAAGATATTTTCCCTTTCTCTCCTTCTCCAAATCCCTCCTATCCTAGTCTATCCACTACTCCGTCACCACATCCCTCCCCATTAACCGTCTTTCATCCAAACAACCCATCCAAACCTGATGCCCTCATATCAGTCCCAACATCACCCCCCTCAGCTCCTTCACCCCCAAGCAGGCCCCCTCTCCTACACTAGACCGACTACCTAACCCAACCACCTGTAACTTACTCCCATTGCCTCCAGTTCAGTCGCCAACAGAATCGCCCCCCACACGCACCAAAAAAGTCACCATTCCTTCTCATCCGATGTTAACTCGTGCAAAACATGGGATTTTTAAACCAAAACGGTCCTTTGCAGTGTCCAAGTATCCACTTCCTTCATCCAGTGAGCCAACATGTGTCTCCCAAGCACTGAAACATGAAGAATGAAGGCAAGCCATGTCTGATGAATATTCTGCACTCATGAAAAATGGTACATGGACACTTGTTCCTCCTCAGCCTCACTACAATGTCATTGGAAACAAATGGGTTTTTTGCCTGAAGCGCAACACTGATGGGTCAATTGCTCGACACAAGGCCAGGTTAGTTGCCAAAGGTTTTCACCAACGTCCAGGCATAGAGTTCAAAGACACATTCAGTCCAGTTGTCAAACCATAAACTATCAAACTTGCTCTCTGCCTTGCCATCTCACAAGGATGGTCCCTCCACCAAATGGACGTCAATAATGCATTCCTCCATGGCACTATCTCTGAGGACGTCTACATGTCTCAACCTACTGGCTTTGTGCATCCTAGTCTACCTCATCATGTCTGCAAGCTCCACAAGGCTTTGTATGGGCTTAAACAAGCCCCTCGTGCATGGTTTCATGCCCTTCGAGATTTCTTGCTCAAGCACAAGTTCAAACACTCTAAATCTGATAACTCTCTCTTTATTAAAGATGGTGCCACAGTAGCTTACTTTCTTATATATGTTGATGACTTGCTGTTAATGGGGAACAATGTCTCATTCCTCAACCAGTTCAAACGCTCTCTTGCTGAAACATTTTCTCTTAAAGACCTTGGAGCTCCGAGTAACTTCCTTGGCGTGGAACTCTTACCCACACCCTCTGGTATGTTCCTCACCCAACATCACTTTATTCGTGACATTCTTCATCGGGCTAATATGGCAGATGCCAAACTAGTCTCCACTCCCATGTCCACTTCATTCTCCTCCACGGAAAAGCCTGATTCC